AAACAACAACAGGTTGCTTCGTCGGAATGTGAAGAAATTTTGGAAAATAGAATGAGCACACGTGAAGAAAACTATCAAAATGAAACCAATGAATCTACAACACAAAGTAAGTGTAAATATTTTTTCTGAGTATATAAATTTTTCAATTCTATTTATAATTATTTTATTGCAGATAATATTAATTTAATGTTTGTTTTTTTAGATATACTTCATGAAGATGAAATCGGAAATTCTGGACATACTTCAGCTTCAAATTTATTTTCATCGGTGACAACAAAAATACATTCCCTAAACAAGGCTTTGTTACCAAATCAATTTGATGAAGACGGTAAAAAAAGTTATTTAGAAATTATTTACATATTTATATTAATAATAATAAATAAAACAGACCTGCAAGTTTAAAGATGTTAAAAGTTGTTTGAAAATTGATCGTGGTTTCTTACGCAATTTTGTGCGCTAAACACGAATCTGGCTTCAGAAATTGTCTATCACGTCAGGTTTTTGAGATAAATAAAATGGCGATTTTAAATATATTCATAAAAATATTACAGAGAAAGCAACAAAAAAAGCAACAATTTTTTACTGTTTAGTTCCCTTGAATGTTTCTATTTTTATTGTTTTTATTTTAAATGTAGATATAAAAAGAACAATAATAAAGGCTTATCAAAGCCAAAGTTTACAATTAACACAAATTCATAGTGAACTGTTAGAAATAAAAAAGTTGCTAAAAGACTTGCCGAAAATAACACAAAGGGATGAGCAAGCCACAATGTCGGTGCAACGAAAACGGAAGCTGGAAATCGCACCTATGCAGAATATGGAGGAATTTGTTGCATTAGAAGAAAAGCTGCATAATAATCAAATCTTTCGCGAAGAACTTGTATGTTTATATTAAACATTAATAAAATTGTCATAGTTTTATTGATATATCTGCTCTAATAATGATGTGATTGTTTTATTTTTCAGAAACACGATATGTATAATATTATTGATACAGATGCTTCGATATCGCGAATTGTCACAAATATTATAAAAAAATATGTAAGCCGGGCTGTAATAATAGGATTTACAGCAGTAAAGCAAATTACCGGCAAAAAAGTATTTGTGAATACAAACTTCTGTAAATGTATAAGAGGTAACATATTATACAATATTATATAATATATAATACTAATATGTATTATATAATATATATCATACTATGAATATTTTTATGTATTTTATGTATATTTATATACATAAAAACAGGGTGAGTCTAATAAAATGTCTAATAAAAATAGAGTAAGTCTAATAAAATGATTAGCACGTTTTTTTCAAAAAAACGATTAGAGATGGAGAAAAACATCCGTTATCAAAATTGTAAGAGATTACGAGAGATACTATATATGGTGACTTTAAGTGATCTTTAAAATTTTTTTCACTTTATCAATCAAAACTTTTTCTTTTTTTAACTGGAAAGAGATACTTTTGAGTCACTTTGTCGATACTTCAAAAAAAAATAAAAAATAAAAAAAAAAACGCAAAAACGCAAAAACTATTTGTTATTCTTCTATCATATTTCCTCGAGTGATAGAATGGTAAAGATAAGCTAGCTTTTTCACTCTTCTTTTTCCAAGTATTCCAAGCTTTCCACGAAGATTAATAGAGTATTATCAACAGAGTGGCTTAAAAATATCCTCTTCCATTAAAAAAAAGAAATGTTTGATTGTTAAAGTAAAAAAAATGTTTAAAGGTCATTCAAGGTCACTATAGTATGTCCCCCTTAATATCTTACAAGTTTGATAATAGATATTTTTCTTTATCTCTAACCGAGAAAAAAGTGCTGACCATTTTATCAGACTTACCTTGTATATATCATATTATATTATGACTGATTTTATGTATATACATATACATATATTTATTATATTCAATAAGTTGTTTTATTAATGTTACATTAATTGCAGAAGCAATTGAAGATGAATTTTCTTTAATCAATATGGCAAGTTTGAAAGATAAAGATTTTATCGAGGCTCTCAGAACAGTTATTAACAACGCAAAAGACTGGGAGGGTCAACGACTTTTCCGAAAAAAAAAAAAAAATATAAAAATTAAAAAATTGAAAAAAAATACAAGTGGCGTTAATTAAAAATATATCTATTATTATATTATTTGTCTTAAACATTAAAAATATATTATTATATTATTCGTTTTTATCATTAAAAATATATTGTTATATATTGTTATATATTGTTATATAATTATGTATTGTTTATAGTTTTTAAAAAATACTCATAATTTTCAGAATAAATCATTTGTTAAATTTAAAAATATGCATTTATTAATTATTACTTCGAATGCGGTGATAAGAACATCCGATCTACATCTGGTTGCCTGATTGGAGCCTAATCTGGCAGCCTGATCAGGACCTAATCCATTTGCCTGATCAGGATCGAATCTGGCAGCTTGATCAGGGCCATTTGATACGTAGCGTTACATACCGCACAGGGCCCTTATTAGAGCACCGGATCCGGACCTGATTTGGAAGTAGGGCAAGCCATATGTGGATCTGATGAGGGCCCTACGAAAATTTCTACTCGGGGTTTTCTGTCATATTACAATTCACTCTTTTATATTGTTTACAAAACTTTTTTCTCGCACAAAACATGAATATATTTATCAATAACAGTGAGAAAAGCGTACAATTCCATAAACAGTGCAAAAAAATTGGCGACATGTCGTACATGATCGATTGGCATCGTCTGCCGGGAAAAAAGGGTCTCGCTGTCGTGCTACTGACTGCTATGTCCAATTTATCCGTTAAACTCACCGTCGCAAATCTTCTCGAGTTGTCTCTCAATACTTTCGGCGACGTAAGTAATTATTATAACGCATCTCATTAATTGCACAATTTGTACATTATTTTTATTTAAAATTCAAATAGGTGATCACGACATCGGTCACTTACTTGAACATGTTACGTACACTGACTTCGTAAAATTTGCGCACAACGTAATAATGCTTTTGTTACCTGTAAGTAAATTAAAAAATTCTCTTTTATCATTACAAATATATCTTGTGTTATGAATGTTAACATATAAATTTTAAAAAGAAAAAGAAACATATATATATATATATACGTTCCACTTATCTCACATGTGTTCAAATGACGACACGTGGATACATTTTGCACGCGCATATGCGTGCACAGTATTCAACCGTAGAAAAAAAAAAACAAAACATGTAATTTTTTCATTGAAATCCGCGGCAAATGGTTTTTCGGAAAAAATCTGCGGCAAGCGCTAGTTTTTTTGCGCGCATAATTCACGCGTGACTATCGCGCGAAGAGTTCGAATCCCTTCTCTCGCTGTCGATATGACGTATAAAATGCACCCTTTACTTCCTGATACGATTCTTCCTTCTTTTCCGTGGAGAAGGAAGGTTTCACGCGCGCGCTCCTTATACACGCCGCGTAAGTCCTTTTCGAGAAACAAACGTTATAAATACCGCAATTCTCTTCGACTATTACGCAGCAGACATTTGCGCGAAGACCAGAGAAGTGTTCTTCAAATAATTTATACCTAAAGATCGTCGAAGCGCGCGAGGAACGGTTCAATTGTTTCCCTGATAAAACTCACAAGTTGCTATAGAATGCACCCTTCAACGTTCTAACTTGGTTGCTTCAACTCTTCCTTCGAGGAAGTACTTCCTTCCTACGGCGCAGTCGCTTTCGCTTTCTCACATCAAGAGACCTCACGCAATCCCGTCAGTTATCCCCGAGCTCCGACAATGCGCGGAACTTCCATGCCAAAGTCAAACTTCATCGCGACTGCTTACAGTCACGAAGAGGACGTGCAACTGAGCATTCAGTTGAATCGTTGGTTACTGAAACCGTTTGGTGCTTGGCCAAAATCGGTCAAACTCTCGTGGACGAAGAAGTTTGCGTACGTGTTGATAAACATAGTTTGTACCGGTTTGATCGGTTTTCTCTTCGTACCCACCGCCGTTTACGTCGCGCTCGAAGTCGAGGGCATGTACAACGCTTTGAGGCTACTCGGACCGCTGAGTTTCTGTCTGATGTCGATTGTAAAATATTCATCGCTGATTTATCGCGAAAGTGACATTCGCATCGGTCTCGAATACATTGAGAACGACTGGATAAACACGCGACATTACGGCGATCGGACGATCATGATCAGAAACGCGAAGTTCGGCCGACGTCTTGTGACGATCTGCACGTTCTTCTCGTACGGAGGTGCCGCGTTTTATTATCTTGCCCTGCCGTTTATCAACGGCAAGATAACGGAGCCTAATATAAACCTGACGTATCGGCCTCTGATGTATCCGGTTGCTCGAGCGATCGTCGACACGCGTTACAGTCCTGTCAGTGAGATTTTTCTCTGGCTGCAATGTTTGACAGGCTTCGTCGCGCACGGCATCACAGCCGGCGTTTGCAGTCTCGCCGCCGCATTCGCGATACACGCTTACAGTCGCTTGGAAGTTTTGATGCAGTGGATCGAACATTTGGTGGACGGACGAAAAGATTTATACAACAGCGTGAACGAGAGATTGGCTATAATTATTGAGGAACACGTGCGGATTTTACGGTGAGTTGTTTTACGTCAAATAAACTTGTCTCTTATTGTCACTCGTTTATTATCGACACTGTTCTCAATTTGTTTTCAATTGTTATCGTCTAACATTTTTACACGAATAATATTAGTAAGTAAAAAAAAAAAATATAAGAATAAAACAGAAAGTTTTTTTTTAAATAACAAGATATGGCACACTGTGACATCCAGAAAAGAAAATTGCTTACGAGAAATCACAGATAATAATTTTACAATGTCAACTATATATATTCACTTTACAGTTTTATATCTCTAGTAGAAAAGATACTCCATGAGATATCCCTCGTGGAAATTGTAGAATGTACTTTAAACATGTGTTTTCTCGGATATTACGTTATAATGGTACGCATTTTGTATGAAGCGTACGTACTTGCAAGCGCACATACAAGTGATATACTCAGGTAACGTTTTCACGTGTTTCCGAAATATAGAAGTATTTAAATTTGTAGGAATGGGGACTCGGCGATTTTGCAACTAAAGTAACATACATTATTCTTCTTTCATCTTTCATCTTTAATATTTTCATATTTTGTTACATAGGAGAACTCGTTGCGGAGCAGGTACGATTTGCAACTGTCGGCTGCTCATATTCACAGTAGTTTCATTCGCAAAGATATAATTGAAAAAAATAATATTGCGAGCAAATAATACTTAACTAATTCTGTAAATACAATTCTGTAAATGCTGACCTATGTGTTTGGATGTACAATATTTAATATAAAATTACTTAGTAAAGATATTCCGTAAGCAGTGCAAAAAAGTCAGCGAGACATCGTACATGATAGAATGGCACCGTCTGCCGGGAACAACAGCTCTTGCTGTTATTTTAATGATCGCAATGTCAAATTCATCTGTCAGACTTACAGCCGGGAATATTATTAAGTTATCAATATGCAGTTTCGGAGATGTAAGTAAAGATACGTACTGTGTTTGTATATTGCGACAATTACATTACATTTGTTAACTAATAAGTTCTTCTCTCGACGTTTGTTTCTCCATAACTTACAGTATTTATTCAATAAACAGGTGATCAAAACGTCTATCGCTTACCTGAACATGTTACGTACCTTAACTTCGTAAAAGTGAGTACGAATGAAGAAAAGCTCTCGCCGTTATTCCGATGATCACGATTTCTAATTGCTCCGTTACACACGTCGTTCAGAAATCTCATCAGTTGTCTACGAGCAGTTTTACTCACTTGACGTAAGTATTGACACAAATTCTCCGCATGACTTCTCGATTTTTCTCACGTGTTTAGAGTTTGAACGACTTATTACGCATGAAATAAACAGATTGAGACGGCGATTACCCACTTGTGAACATGTATATCTAATTAGCGCTTATAGAAATGAAACATTCGTCTCTACAATTGTAAAATAGTAACTTATAAATAAAACTAAAAACTTCTTTCACAGTAATATAACATTTATTGTAAAAAAAAGAATAATGTACTTGTTAATAAACATAAATATTACATAATTGCAATTCATAAGAGACCTTTCCGCATTATTTCACACTCGAAGATAGAAGTGGCTTTTACGGCAGAAAACTACCGTATCGCGAATAAACTATTCATTGTATTTTCACATAACATGACTCGTGACGATGCTTGTTTACAGTCATTTCTTTCTCTATTATTACCACACAGTACGGAAAGTTGCCGTGCAGCAACAAGTTTCAAGAGCTATAGCTAGTGATTACACCAGCCGATACGTCGGTTGCACTGCCGTCTTCTCTATGTAATATTGTATGACCGCGCAGGCATAAGCCGTGACTACTGCAAGCTGGCGTTGTTGAGACTCGCGAACAGTAGTGATGTCTAGTACCTGATGAACCCTACGCGAATCGGACACGATGCGACCACAGTGAACATTTGCAAAGAAAGTAGCAATTGCAGTCTTCAGTTGAACCGTTGGTTCCTGAAGCTGATAAGTGTCTGGCCGAAAGTACCTGCGACTTCTGCCACCGAGAAAATTTTGTTAAAAATATTGAGATTTCTATGTCACACTTTAATTGCTCTCTACTGTAGTAGTTTTCACACTGTATATCGTCTTCGAGGAAAAGGATTTTCGGATGAAGTTAAAGATTGTGGGACCTGCGAGTCACTGGTTGATGGGCGGCATCAATTACTGCTTGCTGTTGTATCAGAAGAAACAGGGTGGCATTTTCTTGTACAACATGGCAAGGGGAACGCTGATAATCCTGCGCGTTGGCAACGAGACAATTGCGATAAGTCGCTTGTCCTGTCCGTCTTTCGACAAGATCGTGGACACCAGGTTCAGTCCGGTGTACAAGGTGGTACTTACGCTTGCAATGCCTTTCGTTCATCGTAGTAAACAACATCACACGGATCGGCAGGCGTACATGGCCGCGGTCTTCGCCATGCACGCCTGCGGTCAGCTCAGCGTTACGATGTCCCGACTCGAGAAGAACTCGTTGAGGAGAGACGTAACGTCGCTCAGCAAAACCTGACGAGCGTCATCTGCAAACACTAAGGTAGACATGCAGTTTTTATCATTTTTCTTAATTTAAGTTATATATTTAAAAATTGACTTCCCACAAACTGCTGTTTTGCGGACAAACAATACATAAAATAAGTATATAACATAAAAATTTGATATTTGATGATTTTGAATAGTGCATTGCAAACCATTAAAATAATTAAAAAAAACATTGAAATAATTTGAAATCTGTCTTTATGTACAATTTTCAGTCTATTTGAACAAAACTTTTAATTCAAGAAATGTTTAATTCACGAAGTTTACGACAGTGCAAGAGTTGGTGAAGCGACTTGTATCAGCTGTCGCATGAAACTATGCTTAGCTTAATTTTGATAATATTACAATCGAGCATAGTTATTAGAATTACCGCTGGGAAAATATTTTACATGTCAATCTCAACATTCGACGACGTAAGTACTTTTCAAGAAGAGCGCGCTTAGAAAAAAAAATTGCAACTTCTGAATAGTGAGAAAACAGTAACTCACTTTTCAGATAATCAAAACGTCTGTAGCATATTTAAATATGCTTAAAGCTTTGACTCATGTAAATTTATTTATTATTCAATTTATAAATTTTATTTATTTGGATATATAATTTTATTATACAACAATGAGTCCGAAATAATATATAGAAAAATTGCAAAACACAAATATTTACACGTTTGTATTCGTGTAAATATGTTAATACTGAAAATTACTGAAAGTTGATTCAACTTTCTTTATTAACACTCGGCAATAAAAAAAAATAGATTTCGACGATATCAAAAATATATGTTTTCACTTAAACATAAATTTGTTTTAATCTTTTATAATGTGTTATGTGAATACATCTCAAGAAATTTTATCACAAATAAAATTTCAATTTTTTTTATTTAATTTTATTTAATCTATTTTGTATCTTTGTTCTAAGTAATTGCGAGCATCAGCAGCATATTTAAATATATTTTGTATCTCGTGGATGAATAATTCTTGAGAAAAAAATAGGCACTTTTTTTTATCTTGTCAAAAATGTTACACATAATCTATGTGTTCTATGAAGATCTTTGTACTTCCTTACGCAAACGCGTTTCTCTTCGCTAACTGTCACCGCAACACTTGCACGGCGAACACACTTCTAATTATCGATCAGACATGCATGTATGTCTCACCCAGCAGATTCGTTACTCCGTTCGTTTACCGTTCTATAGATTCGCGCAGGCGCCCATTTCAAATATAGCACTAAGTTGCTCGTCGCTGACAGTGCACCGTGTGACTTCGCAAAGCGATCATGATGCACGAGCGTGTGCCAACGAGCTTCGAAGTCACGGGCAATAACAAATACAGCCTTCAGCTAGCCCGATGGTTTCTGATACCAATCGGCGCCTGGCCGCAACTGAGCACCGCGACGAAAACGCGGAAACTACTCTCGCACGTGCACGTGCTCGCTAGCTCGTTTTTCGTTGCGGTCATTATGGTGCCGTGTATCCTATACGTGACAATGGAAGAAAAGGATAATGAGATAAGACTAAATACCATAGGTCCGTTGAGCCACTGGATCATGGGTATAATTAAATACATCTTACTTATTGCGCACGGCGACAACATTCGCAAGTGCGTGCGACACATGGAAACCGACTGGCGGCTTGTACGTAAGATCGAAGATCAACGTGTGATGCTGCGATACGCCAAAATCGGTCGTTATGTCACCGGTTTCTGCGCGGTGTTCATGCAGTGCGGTACGTTGCTCTTCGTCGTCGGCAAGTCGCTGTCGACCACGATCATTGTCATTGGTAACGAGACCGTCTCGGTGCATCCGATGGCCTGTCAGACTATCCACAGCTTCGTCGACACGCGGTACAGTCCTGGGAACGAGATTATGGCGATCACACACGTATTGTCGTGCCTTGTAGTAAATGCTATCGCGGTGGGCGCATGCAGTCTAGACGCGATCTTCGCTATACACGCGCACGGTCAGCTGAACGTGCTGTTTTCGTGGCTGCGCGATCTCGTGAGCAACGATAAGAAGAGCAACGTTGAGCAACAGCTGGCCGTTGTCGTGGAGCATCACTTGAGGGTGCTAAGGTGCTTTGCTTAAGTATTTAAAAATTGCATTTCGTGTGTGATTTTATTATGTCGTAAAACTATATTTGCATATAGATGTAATTGTTAAAGAAGTGTAATTATTAAAGAAGTGTAATTGTTAAAGAAGTAATTAATTATATCTCAAAATATGCGCAATATAATTACGGTGATGTGAATTTCAGTTTTATATCACGTATAGAATCTATTATGCAACATATTTCTCTTGTGGAATTGCTGGGATGTACGATGAATATGTGTTTACTCGCATATTATTTTATTACGGTACGCTAAAGATGTAAAAAAGGTGAATATGTAATGTTGCATTTTGTAATTTTGTTGTTTTTTCAACAATGAAACACTTAATAATTTTTCGAATATATAATTGTTGAAAAGAAAATCAAATCTCGTTTTACCTTTTAATCGCATCAAAATTGTGCTTTTGCAGAATATTGAAACGTTTGACGGGGCGAAAACAATGTCGTATGTTATTGTATATGTATCTATAACTTTCAATATGTTTATACTTTGCTACATCGGTGAGCTTCTCACAGAACAGGTAACAGCTGATGATGTAGTTAGAAATACATGCATGGATAGCAGCTAATTTAAGTGCTCTATGGTTTTGTATTTTGCAATTTGTTTGTAACATTTTCTTATATTTTTTCTTCACCACAAAGTGTGTTTTAATTTGTTGAATTTGTTAACTTCATAGTGTAAAAATGTCGGCGAAAAAGCGTATATGGTCAATTGGTACGAGTTACCACCCAAAACGGCTCTCGGATTTGTTTTAATAATAGCACAGTCGAATAATGTTGTCAAATTAACTGCTGGAAAATTTTTTCATTTGTCAATTGCAACTTTCGGTGATGTAAGTAATTTCGATAAAAACATCGCACACACTTGAAAAATCATGTACCGTTTAATTCGGTAAAGCTTTATCATATTCTTATATATTTTTACTTTATATATTCAATTTTATATAATCAGCTAATTGTATAAATAAATTGTCATGTAACGTACGTTCTCTTTTTACATCAATTATTTCACACTTATCTTAACGTTTTCGAAAGTTCCTAATTTATATCGTAAACAGGAAAGAAGACATTGCTGTTTCAGGTAATTAAGACTTCTATGGTGTACTTGAATATGTTACGAACAATGGCTCCGTCTGCAACAAATTAATTTAGAGAAATCGTGTATATAGAAAATTTATAGAAAATATATTTTATATAGAACTATGATGTGTAGAAATACTGTACTTAATAAATAGAATGAGATAATATACGATTACACACATACGTAACAATATAATATGCTTATATTTAACTATTCACAAATCAGTAGATTGATACGAGAGAATTGCAAGAGTTTTTTTTCAAAAATTTAATATTTTAAGATTATTATACACACACACACACACAGAGATAAAACAGATATTTGTCTGCAAAAAATATGCATGCGATATCGCGCGCAAGAGCTAATCATATCTTTGAAATACATGCAAAATGTATGTGTCTATACATAATTTTCATACGCACATACATAGAAAAACTTTAATATAAATAAATATACTTGCAACATTGTATAGATATGTTCCTCGCAAGCTCTTCGTTCGGCAATCAATGCTAAGTTTCCGCGAGCAGCAATTATTGATCAGACATGTACGCGTGTTTCTCTGATTGTCAGAAAGCACATCACACAGTTTCGTTTGTTCGAGCCGCTCTATAGATTCGCGCAGGCGCCCGTTTCAAATATAGCACTAAGTTGCTCGTCGCTGACAGTGCACCGTGTGACTTCGCGAAGCGATCATGATGCACGAACGTGTGCCAACGAGCTTCGAAGTCACAGGCAATAACAATTACAGTCTTCAGCTGGCACGATGGTTTCTGATAACAATCGGCGCCTGGCCGCAACTGAGCACCGCGACAAAAATGCGGAAACTTCTTTCGCACGTGCACGTGCTCGCTAGCTCGTGCCTCATTGCGGTCATTATGGTGCCGTGTCTATTATATGTGACAGTGGAAGAAAAGGACATTGAAATAAAATTAAATACCATGGGTCCGTTGAGCCACTGGATCATGGGTATGATTAATTATAGCTTACTTGTTGCACACAGCGACAACATTCGCAAGTGCGTGCGACACATGGAAACCGACTGGAGACTCGTACGTAAGATCGAGGATGAACGTGTGATGCTGCGATACGCCAAGATCGGCCGTTACGTCACCGGTTTCTGCGCGGTATTCATGCAAAGCGGTACGTTGCTCTTCATCGTCGCTAAGTCGCTGTCGACCACGATCGTTGTTATCGGTAACGAGACCGTCTCGGTACATCCGATGGCTTGTCAGACTTGCCACAGCTTCGTCGATACGCGGTTCAGTCCTGCAAACGAGATCATGGTGGTTATACTAATGCTGTCGTGTTTCATAGTAAATTCGGTCACGGTGAGCGCGTGCAGTCTGGACGCGATCTTCGCTATGCACGCGCACGGTCAGCTGAACATGCTGTTTTCGTGGCTACGCGATCTCGTGAGCGACGATAAGAAAAGTAACGTCGAACAAAAGCTGACCGTTATCGTGGAGCATCACTTGAGGGTGCTGAGGTGCTTTGCTTAAGTATTTAAAAATTGCATTTCGCGTGTGATTTTATTATGTCGTAAAAATATATTTGCATATAGGTTTAATTGTTTAAAAAAGTGTAATTAATTATATCTCAAAATATGCGCGATACTATTACGTTGATGTGAATTTCAGTTTCATATCACGTATAGAATCTATTATGCAACATATCTGTCTCGTGGAATTGCTGGGATGTACGATGAATATGTGTTTACTTGCATATTATTTTATTACGGTACGCTAAAGATGTAAAAGGTGAATATGTAACGACCGCATTTTATCGTAATTTTGTTGTTTCTTTGATGACATTTAATGTTTTGAACTGTATATATATGTATATATTAATATTTGTGAAGGAAAATCAAGGTTTCTTGATATTTTTTAATTGCATTCAAATTGTGATTTTGCAGAATATGGATACGTTTGATTGGGCGAAAACATTGTCGTATGTTCTTATATATCTGTCTATGGCTTTTAATATTTTTATATTTTGCTACATTGGAGAGATTCTCACAGAACAGGTTACAGCTGATGATTTAGTTAGAATTACACGCATGATAATCTAATTTACATGCTATATTATTTTTTGTTGCAATGGTTTTTAAATATTGTTTCATATTTTGCTTCACTAGAAAGTGTTTTAATTTGTTGAATTTGTTAACTCAATAGTGTAAAAATGTCGGCGAAAAAACGTACATGATAAATTGGTACGAGTTACCGCCCAAAACGGCTCTCGGACTTATTTTAATAATAGCACAATCAAATAATGTTATCAAATTAACGGCTGGAAAATTATTTCAATTGTCAATCGCAACTTTCGGTGACGTAAGTAATTACGGTAAAAACATCTCACACACTTGTAAAATCATATACCGTTTAATTCAATAAAGCTTCAACCTATTTTTATATAATTTTACTTTATATATTTGATTAATTGTATAAATAAATTGGTATGTAACGTACGTTCCCCCTTTTTATCAATTATTTCACACTTATGTTAACGTTTTTGTAATTTTTATTTTATATCGTAAACAGAAAAGAAGATATTGCGCTTTCAGGTAATTAAGACTTCTATGGTATATTTGAATATGTTGCGAACGATGGGTCCGTCTGCAATAAACTAACTTAAAGAGACCGTGTACATAGAAAATATATTGTGTATAGAACTGTGATAGTAAAAATACTTAATAAAACAGAATACGGAAATAAATATACGTACACATACGTTACATAATATTTTTATATTTAATATTCGTAAATCAGTAGATTAATACGAGGGTGTTGCAAAAGTTTCTTTGAAAAATTTAATTATTTTAAGATAATTATGTGCACACTCACACAGAGATAAAATAGATATTTACTTGCAAAAAGTGTGCATGCAATATATCGCGCGCAAAAGCTATGTAAATAAATATACTTGCAACATTATGCAGATTATGTACGTTCCTTGCAAGCTCTTTGTTTGACAGTCAATGCTCCGTTTCCGCGAGCAGCAATTATTGATCAGACATGCACGCGTGTTTCTCTCATTGTCAGAAAGCACATTACACTGTTCCGTTTGTTCGAGCCGCTCTGAAGATTCGCGCAGGCGCTTATTCGAATGTACGTAACTTCAACAGGTGCACTGTGTCCCGTCACAAGACAGTGCACCGTGCGCCTTCGCGAAGCGATCATGACTTACTCTGTGCCAATGAGCATCGACTTTGCATACAAAAGCAACAACGAGTACAGTCTTCAACTTACTCGTTGGTTTCTGATGCCGATTGCCGCTTGGCCGCGAACGAGCACGTCGACGTCAGCGAAGAGAGTCTCCTCACACATGCACATTTTTGCTTGCTCGTCCTTGATAGCGGTCGTCATGGTGCCGTGCATGCTGTACATGTCCTTGGAGGAGAAAGACGTTCAGATGAAATTGAGCGCTATGGGTCCGCTCAGTCATTGGATCATGGGCTCGATTAATTACTGGCTGCTACTTGCGCGCAGCGACGACATCCGCGATTGCGTGCTGCACATGGAGACCGACTGGAGGCTGGTTCGTAGATCCGACGATCAGGACGTGATGCTGCAATATGCCAAGATCGGCCGCCTCGTCGCCGGATTCTGCGCGATCTTCATGCAAAGCGGAACGTTTCTCTTCACCATAGCCAAAGCAATGACGTCGATGCCCGTTGTCATCGACAACGAGACCGCCTTGGTGCATCCGATGACTTGTCCGATTTACAGCAAGTTCATAGACACGAGATTCAGTCCCGCAAACGAAATTATGTTGGCCGTAGAGATGCTATCGTGTTTTATAGTAAATTCAATTACGGTCGGTGCTTGCAGCCTCGCTGCGGTCTTCGCGATGCACGCGTGCGGTCAGTTGAACATGCTGTTCTCGTGGTTGAACGAGCTGATCGCGGAAGAAGACAAAGGAAACGAGATTGCTGATCAGAGACTGGCTGCTATCGTAGAACATCACTTGAGGGTGCTAAGGTATTTTGTAAATATTACTCAAACGCTGAGACTGTTTTTATTACCTAGTTGCAAAATGTGCTATATATCGAATACAATTGATTATTGAGTTACAACGATTTAACCAAAATATCAAATAGAAATATCTAAACATCTTACAATCGATAAGATCCTATTCTTTTAATTTCAAAACATTTTATTAATAAAATGTATTAATTTATAAATTTGTAGTTAATAAATTTAAATCTGTTTATTCAACATTATTTTTTTAGTTTTATATCACGTATGGAAAATGTTATGCAATATATCTGTCTTGTGGAATTAGTGGGATGCACACTGAATATGTGTTTGCTTGCATATTATTCTATTACGGTATGCTAAAAGTCTAAAAAGGTGAATATTCATAAAAGCATGTAAAAATCGCTTATTATTTACAAAATTTTAAATCAAATTTCTTTACTTTTTAGAATTGGAATGATTTTGATGGGGCAAGAATATCGTCGTATGTTATTGTATATGTGTCTATGGCTTTCAATATTTTTATATTTTGCTTTATCGGCGAGATTCTTACAGAACAGGTAATATCGTTAAAGTACTTTTAAATATTTAAATAATTAAGAGACATTTTTATACACATGTAGTGATACATTGCACAATTTACTTATTCGCATTTACGCAACAATTCGTTATATTTAATAAATTGTTAAGTGGATTTAAGATTGTACTATTCTGTATCTTCTTTATCGTCACATACATTCTGTATCTTCTTTATCGTCACATACATTTCTAAAGAACTTAATGTCTTTGATTATTCAGTGCAAAAATGTCGGCGAAAAAGCATATATGACTAATTGGTACGAATTGCCACGTAAAACTGCTCTTGGTCTTATTTTAATAATAGCGCAATCGAGTAACGTTATCAAACTAACTGCCGGAAAATTATTTCAATTGTCTATCGCAACTTTCGGTGATGTAAGTAATACATGTATTACATTTAATGAAATTGATATTAACAAAACTTTCATACATTCTGTTACACACTTTGTACATATATTTATATATATACAATTATACAATTATATTATTATATTATTATTACATAATTCCTCTCAGATTTCTTACTTTCCGTATTTTGTTTATTCCTATTGTATCTTTGAACAATATATGATGTTGCATAAACTTGAAAAAATACAATTATATTGTAAATAGGAAGAAAAGAACGTTGTTGTTTCAGGTGATTAAAACCTCCATGGTATATTTGAACATGTTACGAACGATGACACCTACGTAAACTATATAAGTTAGAAAAAAACATGCAAAATATATATTTTGTATAGAAAACAAATGTGTGATATTATGTGTCAGAATAGGAAAAGTATATACATAAATATAGAATATATCTAAATAACTTTGCCATAATATACACTTCTCTACACACGATTTATCACACTTACTTTTTTTCCGGCAAGACTACATCTACATCTCTCTCAATCAGTGCAGCTTGTGAGAGTATCGATCGACTGGCGATACTTGCGCGCACAAAAATGTTCTACTCTTTTTTAGTCTCTGCAACAATGATAGTCACATATCGACGTTTTCCTGGCGCAGGCGCTACTTCCTGAGACTATTGCACGCTACTCTAATAGTTCATTCAGTAGCATCTGCGCCTCCTGCGACTAATCATGCATTATACTCGCAAAACCGTTGATACGTCGTATCGGAATTTGAGTGATTACAGTCTTCAGTTGAATCGCTGGTTTCTCAAGCCGGTGGGCGCCTGGCCGAGTTCGACCACAACGACGATCCGAGAAAAAGCTGTGTCGGTGATATTGATAGTCGTCTGCTGGTCTCTGCTAGCCTTCACGATTTTCCCGTGCATTCTGAATATCTTGTTCGAGGAGACCGACGTGCAGAAGAAACTGAGAGCCGTGGGGCCGCTCAGCCACTGGTGCATGGGCGGCATGAATTACTTTTCTCTGCTGTTTCGTAGCCGCGATATACGTCAATGCGTGCGACACATAAAGAGTGACTGGCGAACGGTGTCGCAGCTCGGAGATCGACAAGTGATGCTAAAGTACGCTCGAATCGGCCGATTCGTCGCGGGGTTGTGCGCAATTTTCATGCATAGCGGCGTTTTTTCTCACAGCGTGCTACAAGCGGTTACCATGCCCGAAATCGCATACATCGGCAACGAGAGCGTACAGGTGCACGTGTTGCCGTGTCCCACCTACAGCAAGTTCGTAGACATTAGATATAAACCGGCGAGTGACATCGCGCTCACGTTGCAGCTCCTCTCAAGCATTGTCGTCAATTCAGTGACAGTTGGCGCCTGCAGTCTAGCGGCGGTGTTCGCGATGCACGCGTGCGGTCAGTTGAACGTGCTGATGAGGTGGCTGAATCAACTGGTAGACGATCGAAAGCAATTTGACAAGGTGCAACGTCGACTGGCCGTTATCGTGGAGCATCACGTGAGAGTATTGAGGTACTGTTGCAAAATAAACAAATTTTATTTTATTAAAAATTTTTTGTTATGTAGGTGAAAATCATTTTTTATATTTCGAGATTTTGTTTTTCTTTGTTAATCCAGTTTTCTTTGTTTTGTGTAAATCTTTGTGTAACTTTGCAGATAATAACATTTTTTATTGTTTTATGCATAGTTTTCAATATTGAATGTTTATGCCACTCTTGCAACTTGAAAACTTCAGTCGTAAAAATCAAACCGAAAGACATATATGAGCAAATCCACCGTAGGTTTAACTTTTTTGAAAATTTATTTTTTTTCAAATGTGCAGCACGTACATCTTATATTGACGAACATGTCTGGAAATAAGTTAAAAAACACCAAATCTACACGCGTTAATGGTTTTAAGTAAACGACGCAAAATTTATCTGATTGGGGTTGACTTATATTTCTTTCTAGTTTTACAATGCAACCATTTTTAAATTGCGCACTTTTAACGTCATAACTAATAAAATTGGNTTTAAAAATTGTGGCCACATGGATTCCGTTGTAAGTTATGGTATAAGAAAGAATTTACAGTTGATATGGACTGAAAAAATTTTTTTTGGAATATGTGCTAAGATTTGAGGATTTTTCAAGAAATTTACGCTTTTGGAGGCAATCTTTGATACACTGATGTGTGTTTCAGTTTTGAAACACATTTTTTAACAACTTAAAGTTTTTGGTTTTGTATTTGCTACAACTTCAGCAACTCAGTTAGTCAATTAATCTAACGGCGTGTATTTAATATTGTTAACTTAACGAAAATTAATATTTTACAAAAATAAAGAGACAAGTTTTTTAGTAGCTATTATTTTTTATGGTTACATGGCACATTATCCATCTCCAGAGAAAAAATTTATGAATGCAAGAACTAACTTTTCCATTTATTACAAAAGCGTTATATAACACGGCGCAAGTACAAAGGTATTAAGAGTGAGACACAAATTCGAAAGGAAAAAATAACTTTTATGATTTTCTATATTTTTACTGACTTAGTGTACTTTTAAATGCCAGCAATGACACGCACGCTTTGCATTCTTATATATAGTTATTTCTAGATAGTACACAAAGAAAAAATACGTCTTGTGCATATAAAAAACAACTCAGATTCATCGGTATAAAAAACTCCAATAAAAGTTAAAAACTACGGTGGATTTGCTCATATATATATTTACTTATACGATTTACGTTATTTACAGTTTTGTAGCTCGTATGGAGACTCTTTTAAATCAGATATGTTTTGTGGAATTGCTAGGATGTACGTTTAACTTATGTATGCTCGGATATTACGTTATCACGGTACGCTAAAAAGTTGAAAAGGTGAATATGTAATTCAGGTAGACTAAAAATGTGAAATTTTCATCATTCGATTTTGACCAGTTTTTTTACATATATTATTTAAAAATGCTATACTACAATTTCAATAAAATAATATATTAATCTATGAAATCGATGCATAAAATTACATCATTCTTCAAAATAATCAGATATTACGCAGTTTTGTAGAGCAGTATACGAAACTTTTCAGGGATGGAACGTAATAGAGAAAGAGACATCGATAGCCTATATGATCATATATCTATCCATGACTTTCAACATTTTTATATTTTGTTATATCGGCGAAGCACTCACAGAACAGGTAAAAACCTTATTGTGAAGCTTAAATTATTAATTTTAACAAATGCAAAAAAATCACATCTTTGTTATGCGTATAAAAAAATGTGCATTAAAATAAATAATTAAATAGTGCAAACAAGTAGGCGAAACCGCTTACATGACTGACTGGTATCTTTTGCCTCATAAAACGGCACTTGGTTTGATTCTAATCATTTCCCGATCGAGTGTAGTGATCAAGTTGACTGCGGGAAAAATGGTCCATCTTTCCATCGCAACTTTTGGCGCTGTGAGTGCATATAAAGACGTGACATTTTCATAATCATTTTTTATATTCAAAACGTTTCAGGTGATGAAGACCTCCATGGTGTATTTAAACATGCTTCGAACTATGACAGCATCGTAGATCATTACATCAATTTGTACAAAACATTAGTAAATTTTCTAGTTGTTACTACACTTCATATTGTATTTACATTACATAACATAAACTGTCACATTACAACATGAAAATTATTATATTATAGTATTTATTATAGTATTTCGAATGATCTTTCAATCCATTGTGTCATTACTTTTTCTGAGAGATTATGCAGCAGCACGCAAAATTCGGCTGCTTTATCGCCAGCATTTGTGGAATGATCACGCAGAGAGATGCATTTTTCTTCAGTATAGCCAGGGCGATAAAAACTACAATTTTTATTATTTTTATTTATTTTTATCGTCGGCAATAAGACGTACACGATACATCCGATGACGTGTCCGGTTTACAGCAAATTCATCGACTCGCGATTCACTCTCGTGAATGAAATTATGCTGACCGTGCAGTTCATGTTGACGTTCGAGAGTGATGAAGTACTTTGCTTAAATATTTCGGTTGCATTTTGTGTGTGATTTTATTCTATCGTGGAAGTATATTTGCACATAGGTTTAATTGTTTAAAAAAGTGTGTTTAATTATACCCCAAAATTTTGTTCCTCTTTATCGTATCTTCGAGTGATATTATGTGTCAGAATAGGAAAAGTATATACATAAATATAGAATATATCTATTGTAAATAACTTTGCCATAATATATACTTTTCTACACACGATTTATCACACTTACTTTTTTTCCGGCAAGACTACATCTACATCTCTCTCAATCAGTGCAGCTTGTGAGAGTATCGATCGACTGGCGATACTTGCGCGCACAAAAATGTTCTACTCTTTTTTAGTCTCTGCAACAATGATAGTCACATATCGACGTTTTCCTGGCGCAGGCGCTACCTCCTGAGACTATTGCATGCTACTCTAATAGTTCATTCAGTAGCATCTGCGCCTCCTGCGACTAATCATGCATTATACTCGCAAAACCGTTGACACGTCGTATCGGAATTCGAGTAATTACAGTCTTCAGTTGAATCGCTGGTTTCTCAAGCCGGTGGGTGCCTGGCCAAGTTCGGCCACGACAACGATCCAAGAAAAAGTTGTGTCAGTGATATTGATAGTCGTCTGCTGGTCTCTGCTAGCCTTCGCGATTTTCCCGGGCATCCTGAACATCCTGTTTGAGGAGACCAACGTGCAGAAGAAACTGAGAGCCGTAGGGCCGCTCCTTCATTGGAGCACGGCCGCCATAAATTACTTTGCTTTACTGCTTCGCAGCCGCGATATACGTCAATGCGTGCAACACATGAAGACCGATTGGCGAACGGTAACGCAGCTCGGAGATCGAGAAGTGATGCTAAAGTACGCTCGAATCGGCCGATTCGTCGCGGGGTTGTGCGCAATTTTTATGCATAGCGGCGTCTTTTCTCACAGCGTGCTACAAGCGTTTACCATGCCCGAAATCGCTTACATCGGCAACGAGACTGTGCAGGTGTACGTGTTACCGTGTCCCACCTACAGCAAGTTCATAGACATCAGATATAATCCGGCGAGTGACATCGCGCTCACATTGCAGCTTCTCTCGAGCATTGTCGTTAATTCAGTGACAGTTGGCGCCTCTAGCTTAGCGGCGGTGTTCGCGATGCACGCGTGCGGTCAGGTGAACGTGCTGATGAGATGGCTGAATCAACTGGTAGACGATCGAAAGCAATTTGACAAGGTGCAACGTCGACTGGCCGTCATCGTGGAGCATCATTTGAGAATATTGAGGTACTGTTGTTTAGTGGAAACAAGTTTTACTTTATTGATAATTTTCTTTGATACAAGTGAAAACCATTTTTTATGCTTCAAAATTGTGTTTTTTTCTTTTTGGTAACAATCCATTCCTCTTTTTTTGTGTAAATGTCTGTGTAACTTTGCAGATACTGACACTTTGTATTGTATGTATGGTTTTCAATATTGAATGTTTATGTCATTTTTGCAACTTTTAATTCAGTCGTAAAAATCAAAACAAATGAAATATGTATATTTATATGTATATATATATATATATTTAATGATACTATTGTAATTTACGTTATGTACAGTTTTGTAGCTCGTATGGAGACACTTTTAAATCAGATATGTTTTGTGGAATTGCTAGGATGTACGATTAAGTTATGTATGCTCGGATATTACATTATCACGGTACGCTAAAAAGTTGAAAAGGTGAATATGTAATTCAGGTAGACTAAAATCGTTCATTTTTGACCAGTGTTTTTTTACATATAGCGTTTTACAAAAAAAGAGTAATTTAATAATGCTATACTTTGACTTTAATTTCAACAAATTAACGTAGGTATTAATCTGTGACATTGATGCACAAAATTACATCATTCTTCAAAATAATCAGATATTACGCAGTTTTGTAGAGCAGTATACGAAACTTTTCAGGGATGGAACGTAATAGAGAAAGAGACATCGATAGCCTACATGATCATATATGTATCCGTGACTTTCAACATTTTTATATTTTGTTACATCGGCGAAGCACTCACAGAACAGGTAAAAACTTTATTGTGAAGCTTAAATTATTAATTTTAACAAATGCATAAAAATCACATCTTTGTTATGCGTATAAAAAAATGTGCATTAAAATAAATAATTAAATAGTGCAAACAAGTAGGCGAAATCGCTTACATGACTGACTGGTACCTTTTGCCTCATAAAACAGTACTTGGTTTGATCCTAATCATTTCTCGATCGAGTGTAATGATTAAGTTGACTGCGGGAAAAATGGTCCATCTTTCCATCGCTTCTTTTGGCGCTGTGAGTGCATATGAAGACGTGACATTTTCATAATCATCTTTTATATTGAAATTGTTTCAGGTTATGAAAACCTCCATGGTGTATTTAAACATGCTCCGAACTATGACAGCCTTGTAGATTATTACATCATTTTGTACAAAACAGTAGCAAATTTTTTAGTTGGTAGTACACTGTATATCATATATTTACATAACATAAACTATCACAGTACAACGTGAAAAATTATTTTTCATAGTATTTCGAATGATCTTTCGATTCATTTTGTCACTACTTTTTCCGGTCTTTCAAAACTTTTCCTAAAATATTATCCTTCAACCGATTGCTACCGTTTTATGCTTAGTTGTTAAACTTTATATAGGTAACGTGTTACGATAAAACTCCGACCATACTGTCAACTTCATAAATGTAATTCGATTCTACTTCTTAGAATGTGGTTTTATGTAAACCTTACAGTCAACGGTTTTTTGTGAGAGCGATTGTATCGATTAAACTTCATTGTCGGTTCACGATGTTTTTTGCAAGTTAGCGCAAGCGCAACTTACAGTTTTCGTTACAGTCAGAGCCGCTGTCACACGGCAGTGCATCGGTCGCTTTCGCAAAGCGATCACGATGCATTCGAAGCGCGTCCTGACAAACGCCGATTTCGAGAACGTCAACGATTATTGCATACAACTGAATCGATGGTTTCTTAAGTCGATCGGCGCCTGGCCGCAGCTGACCGCGCCGAGCACAGTGAAAAGAATCGCCGTGTCGATGCAAATCGGTATCTTCGCGATCACGACCGCGATCATTCTGATCCCGTGCATACTATATGTGATGTTCGAGAACGTGGACATAGAGTCCAAACTGAACGCCGGTGTACCGCTGATTTTCAGACTTCTGGGAGCGTTGAATTATTGTGTGCTGTTTAAGCGCAACAAAGACATCTACGAGCTCATGCAGCATATGGAGATGGATTGGAAGCGCGTGCAAAGATTCGACGATCGCGAAGTGATGCTGCAGCACGCCCGGTTCGGCCGCTTCGTCGCCGGGATGAGTGCGATATTTTTGTACACTTCTACAGCGTTTTTCAGCGTGATCAGACTGCTGAGAACCGTTTCGTTCACCGTCGGCAACGAGACTTTCAAGATGTATCCGATGACGTGTCCGATGTACAGCAAAATCATCGACGCGAGATTCAGCCCCGTGAACGAAATCCTGCTGATCGTGCAGTTCGTGTCGTCNTTTGCATTGAGCTCCGCCACAGTGGCGATATGCAGTCTCGCTGCGGTTTNCGCGATGCACGCTTGCGGCCAGCTGAACGTGTTGTACATATGGCTCAACGAACTCGTNGAGGATCACAAGAAGGGCNTTTCGGCGGAGAACAAATTACCTACCATTGTGAATCATCATTTGAGAGTCCTCAGGTACTTCATAATCAACGTTGTTTGCAATTTGCGAAAGGTTTTGTCTCTTTACTAAATTGTTAGTAGAGTTCGAATAATTGTTTTCGCATTGCAAAAAAATAATCAAATATTTGTTTTTTTATTCCGTAAAAGCGGTCTGTAATTGATGTGAAAAACAATAGATGTACATAAGTAAATCTCCCATTAAAATAAATGTCCCATTTAAAAAGATAACATTGTTTTATGTGAACACAATGTGTATATATCTATATAGATATATTTCTCAGTTTTATAACGCATATAGAAAACATTCTGCATAAAGTATGTCTAGCGGAAATGACGGGATCCACATTAAATATGTGTTTGCTTGGATATTACTCTCTTACGGTATGTGTATATGCTACACATAAATAATACTTTNTTAATTATTAAATGTCAGAATCGATGTCGCGCAAAACAATGTAAATTTCATTTTTTTTGCCATAAACACTATTTATTAAATTATTCTTACAGAATTGGGGTTCATTCGATGCTATGAAAATATTATCGTATATTACAGTATATTTATCGATGAGTTTCAATGTATTTATATTTTGCTACATTGGTGAAACTCTAGCAGAACAGGTAATATCAAAATAATTTAAACAAATTTTTAGATGCTTACAAAATTTTTTATAGTTGCATTTACTAAATACTAACATATGCGTATAAAAAAACTAAACTTTATTATAAAATTCAATGTAATTGTCTTTAAATTTTTAAAGTGATTTACATCAACTTTTTTCAAATATATCTGAGACACTATATTTTAAATATTTATTTATTTATTAGTGCAAAACTGTGGGTGACGTGGCATATATGACTGACTGGTATAAACTGCCTCGTAAAACTGCACTCTATTTTATTTTGATAATCATGCGATCGAGTAAAATAATCAAGATGACCGCGGGAAAGATAGTCCAATTGTCCATCGCAACTTTTGGCGATGTGAGTACTGTATTATGTAACACTAACATTCGATAAAAATAGAATTGTAAAAAAATTGACTCTTTATTATTCGTTTCCTCAAAAAAATAGAAGATTCAAGTTTTTTACTTCGTTGACAATTGAATTTCAACAAAATATTAATTATAAAAAATCTTTTTTAATCAAAGATTTCACAAATGTTTCTTAGCGATAGAAACTGGAATTTTGCTGTTCCAGGTAATTAAAACTTCCATGGCGTATTTGAACCTTTTGCGAACAATGACTACATGAAATGATAAGAAAAAAAACAACTTACATGAAACACAAACATGAAACATTTTTCACAAAAAAATAGAATAGATAGTTAATAAAACTTGTTTATAATACATCATGACAAGATTTTTTACACTTACGTTTTTCTCAAAAGCACAGATGTCATTCCTGAACGTTTTCCTGAAATTCATTTAACCAAGGCTCAACACTGCACCATTGCGTAATCACTTCAAAAGTGTTCTCATGTTGTTCTCAGCATGTCTTTTATTAAACTAACACGACAAGGTATCAGTCACGAACAGTGATTATTGATCGGTAATACATAAGTGTATCCGACTGAAAAAAAATTACATTCGTAGTCGTCAAACTTTTACCCGTGTTGGCGCAGACGCTATTTCAACCCCTTAGGCACACTATTGTTCATCACATTATGACAGAGCATCAGGTCCGCCCGTGAAGCAACCATGATAAAATCAGATGTTGTGTCACCGAGTACTGATATAAAATGTTATAACGATTACAGTCTTCAACTGAATCGATGGTTTCTTAAGTCGATCGGCGCCTGGCCGCAGTTGACCGCGCCGAGCACAGTGAGGAGAATTGCTGTGTCGATGCAGATCGGTATCTTCGCGATCACGACCGCACTCAATATGATCCCGTGTATACTATATGTGATGTTCGAGAACGTGAACATAGAGTCCAAACTGAACGCCGTTGTTCCGCTGATTTTCAGACTTCTGGGAGCGTTGAATTACTGTGTGCTGTTTAAGCGCAACAAAGACATCTACGAGCTCATGAAGCACATGGAGATGGATTGGAAGCGCGTGCAAAGATTCGACGATCGCGAAGTGATGCTGCAGCACGCCCGGTTCGGCCGCTTCATCGCCGGAATGTGCGCGATATTTTTGTACACCTCCTCAGTTTTTTTCACCGTGATCAAACTCCTGAGAACCGTTTCGTTCACCGTCGGCAACGGGACCTTCAAGATGTATCCGATGACGTGTCCGATGTACAGCAAAATCATCGACGCGAGATTCAGCCCCGTGAACGAAATCCTGCTGATCGTGCAGTTCGT